TGAACCGCAACGGTTAAAAATTTGAAAGAAAATTAAATACTTGATCTTCCAAAGAACGTCCCCTTCAGCGACGTCAGCAAAGAGTTTGCATTTTTAATTGCTTTCCCTGCTTCTTTCCCCAGGCCGAACACCAGATAGCTCGAGGCTATAATCGAAAAACGAATTCCCTGATCGTCTGCCCGCTTCTCAGCGCTTTATCGATTGATTTTCCTGGATTTAACATTATTATTGATGCGCTTTAACTGAAATTACTTAACAGATCTTAACTATTTTTTACGTATGTCTGTGGAACTCACTAGAGTCTAAAAAGTCCTCCCCCAAACAGAGGACAAACAATTCCCTGCTGTGCTTCTTTTTCTTCTCTCGCCCCTAGCCAAGCGGATTCGTAACATAAACATTGAAGTTTTTGTCTGGACCTCCGGCACGTAGCCCCGCAACTCTTTACGTTGGAAAATACCCCAAGACGCCAAGAATCTCTGCTAGCTTGCCTCGGCATCTCACGCGCTCTCTCTCTCTCTCTGTCTCTCGCTCTCTTTCTCTCTCTCGCTCTCTCTCTCCCTCTCTCTCTCTCGATCATTCAATCTGCCTCGTTGACCCGCTCTCTCACTTACTCTCTCTCTCTCGCTCTCTCTCTCCCTCTCTCGTTCCCCCTATCTCGCTCTCTCTCTCCCTCTCCCTCTCTCTCTCTCTCTCTCTCTCTCTCTCTCTCTCTCTCTCTGTCTCTCTATGTCTCTCCCACTCTTCCTCTCTCTCTCTCTAAACTCCCTAAAATAGCTTTGGGTGTGATTGATTCCATTCAAGTTTTTCATGGAGTTTAGAAGATTGTTGCCGAGTTCTCGATGCCATTCCCTGGCTAATCTCGTCGGCGTCGACGTCGGCACATTAATGGGCGGCCGCCCGTGCTACCGTACCCAGCTGCTCATTTGTAATTTTACAACCTAAACCCATTCGAAACAATTTTCAGATTTGTTCTTGGCCCTCATTATTCTTCATCTCTATCTTCGGCAAGACACTTGTGAAAATCAACTGCAAAAAAGTGTTCTGTAAGATAAATACCGTCAGATAGTGGGATGTTTTCGTTTTAGGAGCCTTCCGCTCTTCGAAACGACGTCAGAGGATTTTTCGGTACCCTCAACGTCAGTGAAAACCATCGAAGAAACACCATTTTCTATAAAATTCAAGAACGCTAATTTCAAATCGACCTACCGTATCCTGCCGGAGGCACGTTCATGATTTTAAGACTCACATAATGAGACCATTAGAGAGAGAGAGAGAGAGAGACAGAGAGAGGGAGAGAGAGAGAGAAAAGTTGTATACTTTAATTTATCTCAGCCGACCAACTGTTCCTCAGCCCTCCTCCTCGCCGTCGTCCTCTCCCAGGCGAAACATTACAAAATCCGTGAGGCCATCAGGGAGACGTGGGGAAGAGTGGAAACGAAAATGGTATGCTGAATTTTATTATTGTTTTTATGATTATTATTATTACTATCTAGTTAATTTTAGGAACCCAATCTCAAGGTCTTGTTCATAATCGGTCGCGGGCGCCCCGAGGAAAATATGCTAATTTACGAGGAGGCCGAGGAATATGGGGATATTCTATTAATATCTTCGCCCGATACCTATCGCAATTTGGTGCATAAGGTAAGTTAAAGATTTATTTTCCAGCTGTATCTCTTCCACCCTCTCAAGCCTTTCTCAACTCTGTTGCTCTCCTCTCTCTGCTCCTCTCTCTCTCTCTCCTCTCTCTCTCTCTCTCTCTCTCTCTCTTGTCTCTTCTGCAGGCAACATCCGATTTTTTTAGTCCCTCGCCCTCTTCTACTATCATCAGACGTACTGCCCAACCAGATACTTGCTAAAGGTATTGTGCGGCCACGGGTTTAATTGGATTCCAGATTGACGACGACGTCCTCTTCGATTTCAGCAGATTTTTCCACTTCCAAGCAAAGGGCAAAATCCCCGAAAATCCGCCGGCCATTTTCGGCAAGCTCTGGCGGAGGTCGAAGCCCTTTCGAAACCCGAAACATCGATGGTAATTTTTTTATCGATTATTAAGTGGCTTTTGCGTCGTAAAGTAAATGTTGTGATGTCTTTAGCGTCATTTAAGGTATATCTCGCCTCGACATTTTGATCACAAGTTCTTGCCGCCATTCTGCGGCGGGCCCTCTTATATTCTAACCCGAGGCGCCGTTGCTCAACTGCTGAATTCGACGCGAAACGTGCCTTTTATTTATAATGTGAGCTGAAGGATTTTTCTAAAGGGGTTGGAAAGCCCGAGAATCGACCCCTCTAGTCGGCTAGGTTTGGTCATATTCGCGACAAGCTAAAAGTTTCTATAAGAGCTATATGTTTTCCTATTGCCACGTGTATTTTGAGGTCGATCCTGATGTTGCTATCCCTTTAAAGCAGAGCTCCTCTAGGTAGAAGACGTCTTGCTCACCGGTATTCTAGCTGAAGCAGCCGGAGTCAAACGCATCGATATGCCACGTTCGGTACACCCGAATGATCGGCTTCTAAAGGTATAGAGAAAGAACTTGATCTGTTGCTCTCTCCCTCTCTCTCTCTCTCTCTCTCTCTCTCTCTCTCTCTCTCTCTCTCTCTAATTACCAGTTTTTTAGCCAAACCCATACGGGATAAAATGTGACATGGACGGGGTACCGTACCTTTTTGCTGTTCATGGCCGGAAAACGCCTGCTACGGTAGGTCTGGGAAGAGAGCGAGAGACAGAGAGATAGAGAGGAAGGGAGAGAGAAAGCGAGAGAGAGAGACGAGAGAGAGAGGGAGAGGTGTGAAAGGGAGCGAGAGAGCGAGCGAGAGAGGGAGCGAGAGATGGAGGGAGCTTGTTTCTTTGAAAATGCCGCAACAAATGACTTCAAATCAATAACTGAATTTTTTCAGATACGCACTGGTTGGGAGAAACTCTCTAGCTTAAATTGCACCTACAAATATCCGTAAAAAGGTGTCTAAATACCTGTTGTATGTCTTTCTTTTTTTGGAATTGTACGAGATGTTTTAAGCATTGTATCGTATCGTATCGTAATTATTGTGTTTTGTAGTTTGCGGCGTGAAGCGCTCAAAAATAGACACAAGACATTTTATCAACCGATGAAAAATTCGATCAAAAACACGATGGGCACACCGAGGGGGTACTGTTTTTCTCACAAGTGTTTTTCAGCAGGGTACTGTAAAGTAACACAGTTAATTGGGTATTTTGCACAAATCGGCTACAGTAGACCATGTAAATCGGGGCTGTAAAAAATCGTAAACAAAAAAATAATAATCAAGTTTGAGAAGTCGGGGACCCGTTACCTAAGCTAGAAAAAGGTAATGTAAATAAATTGGAGCTGCTGGTAGGTATCGAAAAAGTGGGCGGGGCTTAAAGGGGTTGGGAAACGGGGGTCTTTAAGGGTTGGTGACAGTGGAATTTGGTTTTAAAGGGAAAAAAAAAAAAAAGGGGTATTTTGGGTTTTTCGGCTTGCTGGTCCCTTTAAAATATTCGCAGAACTTATACAGGGTTAAAGGCAAGATCAAATTTAGACTTTACAACACCTCTAAAACCACCAAAAATTGTGTCACCAGCCCTTAAAACCCCCAAATTTGGGTACGGTGATCAGTTAGGGTAGTAAAATACTGGAGAGATTATTGCCCAAGGGTACGGTAGAAAAGTATCGTTTTAGACCTTACAGTCAGCCAAAAAAAAAGAGGGAGGAGATCTATCAATTCGGGGCGTTTCCGTAGCATTCCGGAATTCCACGGGAGTTGGGAATTCCGTAACTTTCCGGAGTGCCGTATCATTCCGGAATTCCGCAGCATTTTGTAATTCCGTAGCTTTCCGGAATTTCGTAGCATTCCGGAAACGCGATGAGGACGTGGGGGAAAGAGGAGGTATACACATGTGGAATTGAGGGGGGCGGGGCTACCGGAAATTTGCATAAATATTGTACACGCGAAAATTCAGGGGCTTCTTATGCACGGCACGCGACACACACATACAGACGGCATGTTTTTGGGGGTGTAGCTGGTCGAGGAGAGCATCTACCGCAATCTGCAGCTGATCATTGCCGGCGGAACAGGGTGCGGGCGTGCTGAAATTGGGGAATAAGATTATGTAAATTTATAAAATAGGATTTTATTTCGGTTTTTGGAATTATCTTCCGAAAACCAAGAAAAAAATACTAATTTTTGAAGTTTTAGACCGCAAATTCAATTTTTGCTTTGAAAAATAGTATTAAAAAGTATTTTTTCTTAATTTGAAAATAATTATTCAAATTTTAATGCAGAAATTCAAGGCCTAAAAAAATTGCTCACCTCATTCTGGCCGTTCCACGCATTCAAATGGCCCAAATTCTGTGGCACAGCTGGGGCCCCATCCGGCTTCACCTCGCCGCGGCGTTGGCGGCAAGTTCGGGCGGCGACCTTGTTCTTCCCGCGGCGGCGGATCTTGCGGATCAGGTTCTTTTGTTCTTCGGACAGGTCCTCGCATCTGAGCATTTTCTGGAGCTCGGGGAGGGACATGTCGGAGATGGCGGCGGCGGTGGCGGGGAGTCGATAGGCCATGGCGAGCTGCTCGTCTTTGCTCTGGCGGCCACGACGGCGGGGGAGGACGGAGCAGACGACCGGGACACGGGCCTTGTCGTAGAGGTGGTATTTGTCGTGTTGGGACTCGATTGGTTGGGGGAGGAGTTTGCCGTAGAAGCGGCTCTGGCTGGGGGAGTGGTTCTCCGCTTCGCTGCTGTAGCGGGGGAGGCTGAGGATGAGGAGGATTCGATGGAGGATTCACTGAAAATGGAGGAGGATGAATTTGAAGGTATTTCTCTCTCGCTCTCTCTCTCTCTCTCTCTCTCTCTCTCCACAAAAACTCACTTGCTGATCGAAGCCGACCTCCGCCCAAAGCTGTCGTACAATCCACCGTTCAGATTTGCATACGGAACTTGGAGATTCTATAAAAATCAAAATAACCTCAGAAACAAAAATATTAATTTTATTTATTATTTTTTAATTCAAACACCTACCGTAACCACCGGCGGCTGCACGTTCGTCGAATAGTTGACGGCGCCGATCTCGGCCAAGACGGGCTCATTGTGGCACATCTGCTGGACGGCCATGGTGAGGTTGTTCAACCCCTCGGTTCGGAGATATCCGGGAAGGGGTCCCTCGGTGTGGTTGTGCCAGAAGTGGGAGCTGTTGAAGGCGGCCGAGGGGATGGCGGAGGCGCCGACGAGTGCGGGCGGGCATGGCAGCTCGCAGGAGAAGTTCATTTGGGGCATCACGTCGGTCACTGGAAGGTGGATGATATAGAGGGGGAGAGAGCGAGAGAGCGTCAGAGAGAGAGACAGAGAGATAGGTAGAGAAAGAGAGCGAGAAAGCGAGAGAGAATGAGAGCGAGAGAGAGAGATGGAGAGAGCGAGAGACAGCGAGAGAGCGAGAGATCAGTAGCGAGAGAGAAATCACGAACGCGAGGCTAGAGAGAGCGCGAGAGAGTGACCGAAAGAGAGCGAGCATGTGCGCGGGAGCTGGAGAGAGTCAGAGAGAGAGAGAGAAAGCTAGATAAAGCGAGAGGTCACGAACCCGAGGTAGCGAAAGAGAAAGATAGGCGGAGAGATAAAGAGTGAAAAATTTGCTCAAAACCTACAGTTAGCCTGCGTGAGTGGCACTCCGAGTGATACGTTGTGCATAACTGGCGTGGTTGTCGGGTCGTTCAGAGAATGCTGCTGTTGCTGTTGCTGACTGCCAGGATGGGCGAATGCGAGCGTCTCCAGTGGGCTGTCCTTGTGCAACATGTCGTTATATAGCGCGTCGAGCTCCGCCTAAATCCGATGGTTTGATGACAGTTAGAGAGAGAGACCGAGAGAGACCCTGAAGGCACTAGAGCGTCAGCACCACCTCTGGAATTAGCAGGTGAGGGCCCGCCCCACGGCACTACGTAACGCTCCGCTTAGCGGGGCGGGGCTAGACGGGTTTAGTAGCGCTACGTAATATCTGTGAAATGACGCGCCGTAAATAGCCCTCGAGGGGAAAGGGGCGTGGCTTATGGTGTGCGTTAGGAATTTCCGGGATACCGAAAAACGAGCTTTCGAGTACTGTAATCACGCTTTAACACACTCGGACAGTAGCGTACTGTAGCGTACAGTAGTTCGTACGCCGCGCGTTGTGCTACTAGCTACAGTGCGTATGTAGTGACAGCAGCGTACAGCGCGTAATTGGCGTACCGTAACCTTGTGGCCTATCGTAGCTTACTGTCGTACTGTAACCTAAGCAAACGCCTTAAGCCTAGGGTGGGCTCAGTGCGTACAGTGGCGTACTTTAGAATACTGCAGCGTGCAGTAGTGCCAAGTACCGTACGGTAGCGTACAGTAGCCGAGTTTAGCAAATTGCAGCGCACTATAGTTTTCCGTTTTGTGTTGTAGCGTACAGTAACTACGCAAGTTTCCAACTTACGTCTGTCGGAGTGGGTAGCTCTTTCGGAAGCGGCGAGACCGGATTTGAGCACGAGGGCAGGGAGCTGTCGGTGTAGCACTTCTGAAAATATGAATTTTGAAGGGAATCTCGCCAAAACCTGAGACTGAGCAGCAAGTTGAGTAGCATGAGCCTTGCCCTGACCCCCCCTTGGGCCCAAGCCAAGAATACAATCATCCAACATACCTCTTGCTCAAGTGACGACAAGCAATCAGCGGTCGAAGCAGCACCGGCGTAAAAGTCCTCAAAGTAGCTCTTGCTCAGCTCCTCGTAACGGGCCGTCTCCTCAGCCGAGAGCCGCTGAAAAACGTCTCCAGTGTTGTGTTTATAAACTCGTGGAAAAGCAGCTGGGCTCCTTTAGGGCTGTCTGGTTAGGCTGTCAAACCCTTTCTCAGGATCGCTTCCAAAATGCTCGTGCTCACATTCGTCTGCTATTTCTTAATTGCTACAGTATTGGCTGAATTTCGGGACACCGTCGTCCCGGCGGGTTTGCAGCAAACGTATAAGAGTATTCCGGGGAATAGGGCCGAGAATTTGGACAATAATATTCGGCTGATGGCAGTGTTGGCGTTGCAGCAGAATGTGAGTTGTGGAGAGATAGAGAGAGAGAGAGAGAGAGGAGAGAGAGGCGAGAGAGAGAGAGAGAGCGAGCGAGAGAGAGAGAGAGGGTGAGTGAGTGAGAGAGCGCGAGAGAAAGAAAAGAGGTGGGGAGAGAGCGAGAGAGAACGAGAGAGAGAGAGAGAAATAAAGGGTTAGAGGGAGAGAGAGAGAGAGAGAGAGAGAGAGAGACAAGAGAGAGAGCGATATATCTAATTTTTCAGGGCTTCCACCTCTACGGCCAACACTGGTATCGTCTCTACGAAATGGACCTCCACTGGGTCCCAGCCGAGAACTACTGCCGCTCCATGGGCGGCCACCTGGTCAGCATCGTCGACCGTGCCGAGAATGACTTTGTCCACCAAATACGAAAGAGTACTATTGACACCCCAATGATGATACCCCTTAGAAAATAATATCTGGATCGGCCTGAACAAACTGAACGACACGCGCCAGGTTTACAAGTGGAGCGACGGGCAGCCGGCCGATTATATCAACTGGGACTCGACGCAGCCGAACGAGCCGAAGGTGGGTGGGGGTGGTCAAGTGGTAAATGGCTAGCTTTCCAGGAATTTGGCCCGGGTTCGGAGCCGAGGAGAAGATATTTTACCTTTTTGCGCGTTTTTCGATTTTTCTGAGTTATAACTTCCTTCAAGGGGCTTTTAAAAGGATTATCAAGGAAAAATAGCCGCAATGAATTTTTAGAATTTTAAAAATATGCTTTTTTGAGGTTAAAAAGCTCAAAAATCACTTTAAAGGGGCTATGAAGGCATTAGAAGTTTGCTATAAAATCGAAAATTTAGGGTTGGCTGAGGTTTAAGTCCTGCTTAGGCTTAAACTGAGCATGAGCTCCATCTAGATTTTTCTTGCCTTTTTTCGCCTATCCTGGACCCGCCAAATTCCGCTACGCGCCTATAATCAGCTCAAAAAAAACGCCGCGAGATTATAAGACCAAAAATATCAGCCGGCCGGGCTGCACGCGTGGTCCAAGGGTCGCGTGGAGACTCGAAGGCACCCCCAGTCCATAGGTTGTACCGCGGAAATTTGGTGATAAGCCCCCGAAATTGCTATCTTCGGCCCCGAGTACAAAGGCCTGTGTGTGTAGGTGGGATCAAGGGAAGACGCTATGACGTGGGGGTGGGTTCTGAGGTGGGAATTTGGTCTTTGCGGGGGCGAGAAGTTGCCTTCAATGGTCCTTTAAAGTCTTGGAGAGAGGAATTAGCGAATGGTTAGCCTAATCTGCATAAAATTGCGATCTGATAAATTTTTGGAAAAAGCAGCTAAGGAAACCACATACTCTTGCTTCTCGCCTCTTTCCCCTCTCCTCGCTCGCTCTCTCCACACTTATTCCTCTCCTCTCTGCTCCGCTCGGTCTGCTTTCGCTCTTGTTGTTTGTTTCCTCACTCTCTCGCTCTCTCCATCTCTTTCTCACTCTCCCTTTATCACTCTCTCACTCTTTCTCTCTCTCCTTTCCTCACCTTTTCTCTCACTCAATCTCTCTCTCTCTCTCACTCTCCAACACCATCCCTTTAAAATGACGACATCCCATTTCTAGGACCACCGGGAAATGTTATTTTCTTCTAGAAGCAAGGGGCACGCGTCTCTGCACATTGACGCAGTCACCAGGGGATCAGCCGGGGGGATCAGATGGCCCTGGTTACCGTATCCCCTTCAAGTCGGAGCACGAGCCCCGCAATTCCGCTAGCCACCACCACACCGCGTCGGCGAGGGGAGGCTGTAGCCGGCGCTGACATTAAGTGTGTGGGCGAGCCGCGCGCAAAATAGAATGGCATCTTCTATTTATGTAAAAAGCGCTTCCCGGTGCTTTGGAGGCGTCAGCCACGGCTTATGACGGTTGGGGGATACTGGGGCGCTATTTAGCAAATGGGGGAGCTTGTACTTTGAGAAAACCCTAGGATATCGGGCTAACTTGTTCATGAGAATGAACTTGAGCATGAGCCCGTGCCCGAGCTTAAGCCTAAACCTAAGTCTAAGGAACCTACACCTAAGCCGAAGCCGAAGCCTATGCCTGAGCCTGAGCCCAAGCCAAGCATGAGCAAGCCTAAGCCTAAGCCTAAGCCTAAGCCTAAGCTCAACCTAAGTCTAAGCCTAAGCCTAAAAATTATCATTTTTCAACCTAGGTGGACTGCGTGTACATGGCGTACAGCCAGGAGCAGCCGGGCACCTGGTTCGACTACGGCTGCTGGGAGCACCGGCAGCAGTATTTCGTATGCAAACTGCCGACGCCTTGAAGGAGTTCAATGTCCTTTCCGCAGATTCACATTTTATGTCAATAAACAAAAGCTCAGCCTATCCAATTTGTAAAATGCGGTTGTTTTTGTATAATATTATGCCCAAAATAATATACCGTATCGCCTCAAAAAAAACATAGACTACCGTACCTGGGTGATGCTCTTGTGGGTGAGGGCGGCGAGGTCGGACTCCTCTTGGCGCTCCAAAACTTGGCGCTTCTCGGAGACGCCGCTTAGGTCACTGCGCCACAGCACGTCGATCAGTTCGATTTCCTGGAAAAATGGGGTAAATTTTTCATTTTTTGATTTTATACCTAAAGGCATCGCAAAGGTACCTTAAAGGGCCCTTAAAGGTATCGTATCTAGGGGTGTCTTGGGGTATTAACAAGGTCGTGCCTTAAAACATTAGTTATTCCAGGATTCTAATGGTACCTTAAGGCCATTTAACAATATGTTTATACCCACAGTTGTCCCAAAAATCAATGACAAACCCTGAGTCTCATGGTAATTCTGCGTTTATAGGACGGTAGCGTAATAACTAGTATCTGCTAGTAATAGACTGACCCAATCTAGGTCTTTAGAACTCCGAATCACCCCCGAAAACCCGACAAGTCCCACCCCCCAGGAAGCGTGGGGTAAATTAAGAAAATTGTTTTTGGGTGTGCTTGGGGCAAACAGCAGATTTAGCGGCCCCGATTCGGGCCGCCACCCACACGCCGAAAAGCCGTGGAGTCTTACTTGAGCCAGACTTATCTGGGAGCAGGATATCTTGAGACTTATGGGAGGGTGGGGGTGGGAATTATAAGGGGGTGGTCGGCTGATTCGGGATTTGCAGCTCCAAGGGCCATTAGAATTAGGAGATGGATCCGAGTTGGGATTCGGGTCGAATCGGTGTGGATTTGAGGTGGATTCGGGGTGGATTGAGACCCGAATCTCGGCTATATTTTCCAAATAATAATATTGGCAATTTAATGCTGATTAGGCCAGAGATTTTTGGATTACGGATCTGTTTTTGAGTTGTCTGAAAACTGAATGAAATGATATTTGGAGGCAAAATCTAATTTTTAACGGGAAAAATGGATCTTTTAAAGCAGAGCATAGTATCCAAAAATGTAGCATGGCAAACTAGCAGGAGTTCTTGGTGAACTGAGAGCCCGAAAAACCAAGGTGATGAGGCAACCCAGCAGAATTTTTTGGGGAACCTGAAGTTGTGCGAATTCCGGCAAGATAGCAGAGATTCTTGGGGGAAGCTAGACGAGGAATCGATCGTTTTTTTCATAATTTTTGGCACGAAAGCTAGCAGAGAACTTTGAGGAAGCTTAGGCTCACAAAAAACAAGCAATTTCAAGGGTACTCTAGCAGAGACCGTTGGGAAAATCGGCGTTTTCGATTTTTAAGATACAGGGTGTCCCAAAAAAAATCCCCCCCCCCCCTAGCCGGCCGCAGACGGGTCCGATTTTTACAATTTAGGTATCTATCGAAAGCTCTCGAAAAGGCGAGTCCAGCACGTCTCTTCGATTTTCATAATTTGGAAATTTTTCCATCAGTTACTCATATTTTTGCAAAATGGGCGGATTTTCTGATGTTGTTCTGCCAGGGGATTTTTTACAAAAATCGCAATTTAAGAATTTCTACGCGTTTCCTGGCGACCCAACGACAGCTTTTTGAAAGCCGTTTGCCAAAACACAGCTTGGACAGCGCTTAAGCCGGTTAAATTGCGTTTTGAACAAAAAAGTCTCTCCTTTTGGCCTGAAAAATGCGGAAAATCAAGCAAAAAATTCCGACATTGCGCAAATCTGCAAGACGTGCTGGACTCGCCTTTCCGAGGCTTTCGATGATACCCAATCGTAAATCGGACCCGTCTGCAGCCGGCTAGGGGGGATTTTTTGGGACCCCTGTAGATGAGCTTTTAGCATCAGTAGACATTTTGAGCCTGACCTAGCAGGAAACGTTGAGGAGCAAGTGATTTTTCTAATTGTAAGGGTCAGCTAGCAGAGAACTTTGCGGAAAGTCAAAAACGAACTAAAAAACAAGACCAAACTCTTCTTGCCGTTATCAGGAAAAGCCGGAGGAGGTCCACGAATTTCGGAGGGTGCAGAAAAACCCCAAGAACTATTGGGTGGGTGTGGTGTGGTGGAGATAAGGAGAGAGGGAGAGAGAGAGAGAGAGAGAGCCAGAGCGAGAGAGAGAGTGAGAGTGCCTCTGAAGCCTGAAAAATCGGGTGATACCTCCCTTAGAAATTATCGAAACACGGCTTGCCCCCACGCCCGAACAGTTGACATCACCTTTGAAGCTCTTATCTTAGAATTCCGGGGAAACACCTCCCAC